GAAGGTCCGACTAACAAGATGGACCATCCCAAAGGTCCGACTAACAAGATGGACCATTCCGAAGGTCCGACTAACAAGATGGACCATTCCGAAGGTCCGACTAACAAGATGGACCGTCCTGAAAGTCTGAACAAACAAGATGGACCGTCCTGAAGGTCCGACTAACAAGATGGACCGTCCCGAAGGTCCGACTGCTTTGTCAGACCCTTAGGATGGGATGGGGGGGTGCTGATTGGATTAAAGTTGCCAGGTGGGCGGGCCTGATGCTGGGTGGGCGGGGCTTAGACCATCTGAGATGATGTAGTTCCACCCAAACTGCTCCTGATTGAGAACCAGAACAATTTCTGCTGAATTTGATCCAAAATCACTTTTTGTTGGATTTTTGCCATTTTACTTTCAAACTGTTTTTAGCCACTTTTTTTCTGTCGTTTTATTTTATTTACTTAATTTCTTCATTTTGTCAGATTAAATTTTTTTCATTTCACTTCCATTTTATTTCAGTCATTCGTTTTTTTTAACATCGTTTCTTGAATAACTTCCTATTATTGTTTGAATGAGTGAAAAGGAGCTGAAAGAAGAAACTTATAGTAATGATATAATATATAATATATATAATGATTAATATAAAAGATATTTTATATTAATATATTCTCATTTCTCTCTAAATCCGTCTACATGAGATGATATTGTTCATCTGAAATAAGAATATTTTCTCCATTTAAAGATAACTGGCTCTAATCTGGAATTAGAAAAAACAAACATTTAGTTTTAGCATCATTGAGTGATAATTTGTTTTTATTAAACCAATTCTTTATTTTCACCTTTTTGTTTTTTATTATTTTACCCATTTCCAGACATGAATAAAATGTTGTCATCAGCAAATAATCCAGATTGTAATAATTCTGCTGCTTCACATAAATCATTTAAATAAAGAATAAAAAGTTTGGGCTCAATAACAGAAGTTTGGGGAATTCCAGATTAAATGTCTAATATTTCTGCAGAATTATCAGCATTTCTAATCCAATTTAATCCTAATTCCATAAAGTTGTAATTTCTTTAACAAATGGTGTCAAAGGCTTTTTTAAATCAATAAATCAATAAATTCTTCTCTATTTATTTTCTATTGCTGTGTGAATTTCATTAACGTTGTTTTTCTAAACCCATTTAACAAATTATTTTTCTATATATAGAAACCCTAAACCTGGGTCTAAACCTGGGTCGGGTCTAAACCTGGGTCTAATCTACACTCTAAAGGTTATTGGTCTATAATTGGTTAAGCAGCGTCGATCACCTGATTCTTTATTATTTTATGTTTTTCATCTCATAAATCGATTCTTTTCTATTAATCTGATTTAATATCTTCAGGTTTTCCAGGTTCTGGTCCTGGTTCTGGTCTGGGATTAGGCTGGTTCTGCTGAAGCAGTCAACCAGAACCAGACAGTCAGCTGACCTCAGATCAGCAGCCGGGTCACATGACTGCAGGTTTCTCCTGACCAGTTGGACCTAAAGTTTTCCAGAACTTCCTGAGAGGAATCAGGAAGTTCTGGATCCGGATTAAAGTTCTGAGACTCACCAGAGGAGCTGATCCAGGTCCTGAGCTGATCTAATCCTCACCCAGACTGAGCAACACTAGTCTGACCTTTGACCTGCTGTCATAGGACCCGGCCGTTTCCTCTGATCCAATCAGCCTATAGACAGCCTTCGGACCTTCAGAATAAGAGCGCTCCCTCACCTCCTTCTGCTGCCGCTCCAGCTCCTTCATCCGGATCTCCCGGGCCTCGGCTCTCGCCGCGCGCTTCGCCGCCAGCCGGGCCTCGGCCTGCGGGGCAGACGTCGATCGGTCGGAGGGACAGACATAGAAACATGTCAGCATCTAGAACAGATCTGATCAGAGTATTTATTCTGCTTCTTTGATGTCATCTTTGTTATTCTGAAGACAAACTGGCTTCTGGGATTAAAAGCATGAAAACAGCTGATGAAGATGATGCTGTCTGAGCTCGGGATTATTGAAGCAGGTTATCCCCTCCCAGTAAGTACTGGGCCTCTCCCAGTGGGTCAGTGGGAGGGAGCACCAGTAATGCCTGATTGGATCATTGACCCATGTGTCCGTCTCCTTTGTCTGAGAGGAGGGAACCAGACATCTGTCCCCCTGAAGGACACAGAGACACTGTCCCCAGCTGATCCGTCCCATCAGCTCATCATCAAACAGGTTGCCATTAATGATGTCATCATGGTTCTAAATTTAATTATTTCTGTCCGTAAATTTACTAAAGAATGCTTAAATGATTTAAAACATCTTTTAATGACTTTTCTGAGACATTTTGATTTTTTTTCCATTTTCTCGGTTAAACAGCTTCTCTGATGTCATCATGGGACGCCATCAGCCTGTCAATCTGATTAAACCGCCTTAATCTGCTGACTAGTTCCTTCTTTCTATAGATTACGAACTAATCTAGACTAACTTTATACCATAAGATTATAAATATATAAAACTATAAATGATTTATCCATC